TCTCCAGTTCCTGAAGTTTAAGATATTCTTTGCCCAGGTGTTTCTGTTTGATAACTGTAGTTCAATTAATTCCTGTTTAGCAGAAGAGATGAAGGGATGACCTAGAGTTTATTAGAAAATCATACTTTATCTCTTAACCAATTTATCTTAATCAGGTAATACTAAGTTTATCCATTTATTTTTTTCTCCTGTAGCACAATGTACTATGTTGGAAATATTATTACTTCAAATAGCATTTAAAAACCTTGAAATAGTATTTGTTCTTTATCTGTCTGGGAAGATAGAATTGAATAGAATGAAAAAAATCTGGAAATAGAAAGTCTGCTTATGAATATGAGAAAATAAGAAAAAGTATTATTGGCTTAGGCCTTTCTTTTCTTTTTGTGAATTAAGGGAAGAGGAGGCAAATTAATATGCTGAAAAAACGTTGTCTCAAGACATCGCTATGTGCACTTAGAAGAAGAAACAAATAAATCATTTCCACACATTATTAAAAAGTCCTAACTGGAAACATAGATCCTAGAACCTTTTACCCTTTTAGGTTATCGTTAGCTTAAGAGATAGGCAGATCGTTCTTCATACCTACAGCAGAAAATTAGTTCATGACTGGAAGGAGCTTGGCACTGAGAGAAGTAAAAGTGTCCAATTTCTGCATTAGAAAAAAGTATGTATAATTATAGCTCAAGAAATTGAGCGAACTATCCATTATTAATGGAAAACGTTGGGACTGCAATGTCAATACAGTCAAGAAGCAGACTCTTAGCTGTAAGAGGGGTATATTTATGTATATAGATTGTTAGTCTGTGTATTTAATTGCAGCAAAATAATAATTATAGTAGTAGAAGAAAAACACAATAATAGTTAACAATTAAACAAACCTACTCTGTGAAATTCACAAAGCACTGCACAGAAAATTAAATGATTAAACCGCATTAATTTGGTCTGTGGTACCTATTTTTCATTAAATGTATCACCTGACCAAGGTTATCATATTGGAATCGTAGCACTTTAGCACAAGAACGATGCTACTTCTGATTCTTTTAAACATATTCTAGCTTCTAATACCTGCAACAGTCAACTTTCGGGCTGTAGCACAACTCTGCCTGTCATGAGGTTACTTAACAGTTATTGCTGTTGACTAAGTCTGCTCTTTCTTAATTGTTTTTGATATGGGTAATTTCATGGTTAGAAAAGATGGCTGTTCCTTGGTGGTTCCACGTAAAAGCTATTGAAACCAAACTTCAAGAACCTGGGGTTTTGTTCCCTTGCATCTGTGTACAAGTGTGAATTGGGATTCCATATATCAGTGACTCACTGTTCTGGAATAGGTAATAATCCAAGAGCAGTGTCTACTGAGGTCAGTGCTTTTATTCAAGAGTCACTACTTTTGAGTTGAAAATCTTTATTAGTTTCTGTGACATTACTTCCAAAATGTTATGAGCTACAGCCAATTACTATTACCTGTAGTTAGGCATATACCTCAACTAGGTTTGAAATAGCTAGATAGATACTTTTAGAATATCAAGACTTTCAAGACTTCCAAGTAGAGGAATCCAAGCAGGGTAAATACCCCTATGGGACTCTGAGCCCTCTGCTACCACTAAAGTGTATATTGCTAAAAGTGCCTCAGATATCTCAGGCAATCTAGAAAAGGGGTAGGCATAGCACAGGCATATTCCTAGTGCTGGGGAACAGCCAGTAGCAATGCTTCATAGTTCATTTATGATTCCACAGGCCTGAATATGCAGCTAAAGAAGTCTAATTTTAGCTTTAGGGACACAGTTGTTTGAACTTTGATTACCAGATGTCCCAAGTAACCATTCGGTTACGATTAAATAATGATTGTATTATGTTTTGGAGTATATTATGGACTATTCCACTATTTAAAACATCATGGCATCATACAGAGTGGAAAATTTGTCAGGAATGGAGCCAGGAGTATGGAAAGAAAATAGAAACCTATTCTGAAAGATCAGGAACTGAGACAGTTTGATCAGAAGCAGGAATCAAGCATGGAAGACCAGCAAGAGCAAGACCATTGACTGATCAGGAGGCAGAATGAAGAATAAAGGCTAAAACAAAGTAGAAGACTTGAATAGAAGATGAAATATATTCGAGTCACAAGACTGGAGTATGAAGAAACACAGCTGAAAAGCAAAAATACCCTATAGAGTACTCTTACCCATCTAAAATCTGGGGCAAGCTACCATTCATGGCCCTGGAACTGCCTGTCAGGGTCATAAGCCTTTATTTATCAGGACCTGGATTTAGCTGCAATGCTGAGAACTCAGGCAAAATCAGTCAGATGTCTGACTGTGACCAGCTGCAGGTCAGAAGGAGGAACAGTTCTTCCTAATTCTGTAGAAATGGTCTATGTTAGTTTACATCTAACACAGTGTCTGATTTCACAGTGTCTGATGCACAAAATGTCAGTGTCTGAGGCACAAAATATGAAGTACAGGTCATAAATCTCCATTTGGTAT